AAATCAATACAAACTCCCCATAGACGATTCTCGTCCGACACCGTCAAATGTGGTGTATTCGCTTAAATAATAAACCAACTACAAATAATTTAAAAAAAAAAACACTCGCATCCTCTAAATAAATTAGGGATAGCATCATCCCTCCTCCCCCTCCCCCTGACAATACAATGTAACCAATAGCCACCCGACCAAATGATGAACCTACACAAATATTTCGAATTCTCGCCCCCCAGTCAAATGTAAATACCTAACAGCTACAGTTCAGAGAACTACTCAGAAACCATACTAGGAAAATTCCATGAAAGCTACGATGGTTAAAAAATCGACACTCCTTGTCCACATCTTGTAAGATCACATTGACGTCAAACCATCGTATACCGACAGTGTTATAATATGACAATATTATAATATTATGTCTATTATAATAGTATTATATTTTATAATATCTATGAACAGCAACAATACTCTTCGACTAATATTTCTACGAACAACAGCCTATATTATTTGTCCGACAATATCAAATCGTACACAATATAATAATATGGAATTATATAGGTAGCTTATTGGGTTGTAATAAAATACGCATTTAGAAGCCAGCAATGTAGCATACTTAAGCTTATTCTTATTACTTGCTTAATTTCTCGGCATAATTTTTATTTTTAAATTCGAATTTAACATGGTATTTTAATGATATATAATAAATTATAATATTATAGCTGTTATGTATATTATTCAATAGACGAACGTTGTCAAAATAGCGTTGCTATGGATAACTATATAAACATATCGAATTAAACATTTATTTGTCACAGTTAATTATTTCGTCGTACCTACCAACGCTTATAATTCCTTTTATTATATTATATTTATCAAAGAAAATGCCGAACCACGATAGTTTTGGAAAATCGTCCGAAGTGGAAATCAGCGCCGAATCGACCGGAAACGCTTTCAGTTCTGAGTTATGCGATGAATTCGTCGGCCAGGAGTCAACACAGCAAGGTTTTACGGATGTACAGGGGACGATTTCGTTAGTGGAAACCACGGATTTCGGACGGGGATTACAGTCTGCGGGCGATGCAGCGGATTTCGGACGGGTTTTGCAGTCTGAATTTGAGACGCAGGAGCCGGCGACGATCGCTGACTCACCGCAGCGGCCTGCCGACTCGGGACAACAGAGTGCTGCGATCGTCTCGGAAAACTGCGTGGGTTCAAAGTTCAGGATGTACATTTCGATCCTGAACCGGGCAATAACGACGCCGCTTGACGCCCGCCAAGTCACGACGGATACGCCGTCAGCTGCATCACCTCAGTGGCCCATGTCCCCACTGCCATTAGTCCGTGGGTTGGAGGATCAATTTTTGTCGACACGGCGTCCGTGTTCATTTCGGTTCTCCACCACGGTATCCTTAGACGTGGCAAATGCCTTGAATACGGCTTTATGGGCAAGGATAGAGGAAGCCTTGGTGTCGAAAAGATTACCCTTGTGTATTTTGGTTTGTGCTCTGAGAAGCTACTTCGACGGGTCACTTCCGAACAGCGAACCTGACGGACGTACAGTCACCAGTGGCCCAGTCCTCGGACCAACCCTCCGGGAAGTCGTGTACGATGACCTCCTGCAAACGGGGATACCGCTTATCGTACGAGAAATATCCAGCACGATTTCAATTGATTTTGCCGATTAGCGAGGGTTGCCGGAGAGCGTTGACAGCGAGCAAACAGCAGTAGTACAATAGCCGTTACCGGAAGAGGTACCGGAAGACCGCCGCCGGGACGAGAGCCCGGAACCCGCGGTACAAGAACGCCCTCGACGCAAATCGATTTGGAAAAGAATCAAGCGTCTAATCAGACGTATGTTTTGTTATCCCACCGTGCAAAGGAATTTTACAAACATTCCACTGATATACAATTTAAGTCTTAAAACAAACATTGCAATGGAATATTCCTTGACTGTTACAAGAATAGTTCATAAACATATTAGAATTTAATATTGAAAAAGAACGTTCCGGTTATAAACATTTTGTGTATAAAGAATTACATAACCTTGTTATGTTAACTAACTATTACGTGATACATCTCATCTATTAATATATATATTTTTAACTCTGAATATTGTTGTTGTTACTTGTTATCCATTTTAAACCACGAAAAACCAGTAATCGGCATTGTCAGTCATGATGACTTAAGTGAGGTTATAAAATTAAATTCTTGTCTGGTTGTCAATCGAGATTCGAGACATCGAGTCGTGTACTTTGAAGTTTCCGTGTGTTTTAGTAGTGTGTTTTAATACGATTTATGTCAAACCTGCAGTGTATATTTAGTAGGTACTATTACTTACCTTACTCGTCATGGCGAACTTCATTAAAAAGGTAAGAATAAAGTATTTCAATTTCAGTAATGTACCTAAAGTGTATGCTATGTATGTACGATCGACCTGGTACAATAAGTAAAAATATTAACAATAATTATTGTGAAATTATCAATTTTACAAGTGTTTAACATATATTTATTATCTAT